TTAATTAGTATTGAAAACGACTTCAATGCCCTGTATACTTTGCCCCTCTGTATTTCGACTTCCTCCGCCGCACAGCGAAGTGCAGAAGCCGAAACGAAGGAACGAACGCGACTTTAATAGCTTTTTCTATCCGTTATATCTAACCTCCATTGATATACTAGCATTTATATGCTAAACCACCTTTGATAACCCCATTTTATATCACGACATTAATTTCTAATAATTTGGCGAATGTCTGTTATGTTAAATCCAAAGGCTCCGTCAGTATTAATGCGAGATCCCAATAGCGCCAAATTCGACAGAACGAGCATCGACTGAGTACACGGACGGGTTTCTAAAAATATAGTCGTTGAAAAACCGTTTGTATCAGGTCCTTAAAAAAGACCAAAAAAATAAAAAGTTTAAAGCATTGGCCTGAAAAAATAGGGGCGCCTGTTTTGTTTTCGATTGTGCTTCTGTGTATGGTGTTTCATGTGTGTGTGCTCTGAAATTTCTTGTAAGCCCAATAATGTAGGTAGAAACGAACCATGTGAATAATGAAGGTTAAGAATATTCATTAGCTATTTGGGCATGAGTTTCCCATATCTAGCATTGTACAAGGTTAGATCAAGTTAATCATTTATGAGGATTTGCCAATGAGTTAATCATCAACCTGACTAACAGCTAGCCAATTCACAATCTATCTATATTCTAACTTTGGGAGTCGTATCATCAAACAGTACTAGCATACAAGAAAACCAATTCTCTGTGGGCGTGTGCTATATCATTGTGTACTGCCAAACAAATGGTAATGTGTTTAAGTGTAAGGCATGATTCGTACATGTATTTCTAATTGACATCTCAAGTTTCTCACATAAAAAAATTAAACATAGTGCAACAACAACTCGTCCACATATAACACCTATACACTAACACTACGTTACTCCGGAACCAACATGCATCACAGTCATTAAGCCGCGCGTTAGCCGCCGGGTTTGCAGGCTGATGACATTAAAGGTTGGACGCTCCTAATGAACCATTACCTAACTTTGACTTTATCTGTCAACAGCTTTTTATTGATAATAGAGATAGAGATACAATATAAAGTCACAAATATAACATGTAAATATAAGGGTGTCAGCTTTTCCACCGTCTAGACGCTCCGCCTTCATGCTCTTCTCTCTATACCCAAACCTATAGGCCTGTTACGTGCTATACGGCAATGCTAACACGTTGACCTAACAGAACGACTTATTTAGATAAGTAGAGAAGAGAATTCTAATCATAATGTCTGATGTGTGTTGGTTTGCAGAAATTTCTACGTGATTTCCTGTCTTCTGTCTGGTGTCTCGCATGGTTGTCTTCGCCACAGATCATCACAGACCGTCGTGTACTCGTGTGGACCTTGGCCAAGCGGTGGTCGTTGATCGTCACGCGTGAGTGCAGCCCAGTTACCACTGCCAGGCTTAAATACTACTGCAGCCTAATTACTTGAAAGACTGATTACTAGTGCAGCCTCAAATTTCTACTGCAGACTTAATTACTACTAGCCAGCTTAATTACCAGTCCCCAGCAATGAATGCAATTTTTATTATATATTATATGTATATACTATATACTTATATAATTACATATATACATACTGCCCCATGTCAGTTGCTGACTGGTCCTTGTGTATTATGTAGTGATTCTGTGGGCTCTGTGCTTGTCTACATTGCTGTGTGCTTGTCTGTGTTGCTGTGTGCTTGTCTATGTTGCTGTGTGCTTGTCTATGTTGCTGTGTGCTTGTCTGTGTTGCTGTGTGCTTGTCTGTGTTGCTGTGTGCCTGTATAGGTTGCTTTGTGCTTGTCTGTGTTGTTGTGTGCTTGTCTGTGTTGCTATGTGCTTGTCTATGTTGCTGTGTGCTTGTCTGTGTTGTTGTGTGCTTGTCTATGTTGCTGTGTGCTTGTCAGTGTTGCTATGTGATTGTCTATGTTGCTGTGTGCCTGTCTAGGTTGTTTTGTGCTTGTCTGTATTGTTGTGTGCTTGTCTGTGTTGCTTTGTGCTTGTCTGTGTTGCTGTGTACATGTCTGTGTTGTTGTGTGCTTGTCTATGCTGCTGTGTGCTTGTCTACGTTGTTGTGTGCTTGTCTATGTTGCTGTGTGCTTGCCTGTGTTGCTGTGTGCTTGTCTGTGTTGCTTTGTGCTTGTCTGTGTTGTTATGTGCTTGTCCATGTTACTGTGTGCCTGTCTAGGTTGCTTTGTGCTTGTCTGTGTTGCTATGTACTTGTCTAGGTTGATTTGTGCTTGTCTGTGTTGTTGTGTGTTTGTCTGGGCTGCTGTGTGCTTGTCTGTGTTGCTGTGTGCTTGTCTATGTTGCTGTGTGCTTGTCTATGTTGCTGTGTGCTTGTCTATGTTGTTGTGTGCTTGTCGATGTTGCTGTGTGCTTGTCTATGTTGTTGTGTGCTTGTCGATGTTGTTGTGTGCTTGTCTGTGTTGCTGTGTGCTTGTCTATGTTGCTGTGTGCTTGCCTGTGTTGCTGTGTGGTTGTCTGTATCGTTGTCTGCTTGTCTGTGATGCTGAGTGCTTGTCTGTGTTGCTGTGTGCTTGTCTATGTTGCTGTGTGCTTGCCTGTGTTGCTGTGTGGTTGTCTGTATCGTTGTCTGCTTGTCTGTGATGCTGAGTGCTTGTCTGTGTTGCTGTGTGCTTGTCTATGTTGCTGTGTGCTTGCCTGTGTTGCTGTGTGGTTGTCTGTATCGTTGTCTGCTTGTCTGTGATGCTGAGTGCTTGTCTGTGTTGCTGTGTGCTTGTCTATGTTGCTGTGTGCTTGCCTGTGTTGCTGTGTGGTTGTCTGTATCGTTGTCTGCTTGTCTGTGATGCTGAGTGCTTGTCTGTGTTGCTGTGTGCTTGTCTGTGTTGCTGTATTCTTGTCAGTGTTGCTGTATGCTTGTCTGTGTTGCTGTATTCTTGTCTGTGTTGCTGTATGCTTGTGATGTGATGCGTGTGTCGTATAGTCAAGTGTGGTTCTTGATATCGCCGCTCCA